TGTTGTGACATTAGGTATTTTCCAACACCAAAGTCCAACAGAAGAGTAATGAAATTTAATGAATCGTGTTTACAGATCGTCCAATGATGGTATATCACTGATCATAAAGTAAGTTTCTTTCGGAACATGAAGTTGTATGTAGGTACAATTATAAGGTATCCAGTAAGTTGTCTTGTCGGTGTTTGCCAGCTGCGTCTGTACTACTTATATTTCAAGTTTCTCTGGACCCGTGTCGAAACACCATCATCATCTATCATGTATTACATTATATGATGACGAGGACGCAAATCCGTTTGAAATCAAATAATACAATGTAGGCACCGCAAACCCTCGTAGGCGGACAGTTTGTCTACTCGTGCGAATAATAGACGGCGTGTACCCGTAGACAATATTATATGCTTATGTGTAACCCATTAAACCGTATATAATAATATAATATATTATATACCTATACAATCGCGTTTACCGAAAACATTACGGTGCCTATCGTTTCGTGTGCACGTTTTGCTCGATTTTTGTAAGTACATTCGTCGGTTAGGTCGTTGCAGTATTGTGCACAAGTTCGAGCTCGGCTATTGTGCGTGACCGAGGCGTTCTACGCTGCAGCTAGGATGTTATGTTTTTATAAAGTYCGATCATAATATGCATAGGGTCACTGTGTGCAATATTTTTAAGATCCTTCAAAAACGTCGATGCGGTGCAGGGGTTCATATATTGCGTCGACCTAGACAAACTGTATAATAGGTACAGCTATTATAAGTTATAATAATATTTATTGCTTAAATTGGATGATGTTAATATACATATATTACGTGTTGTATAATATTATGAATAAAGTTTTTTTTAGCACCATAAATTTCGTTTGTTTTATAAATAAAGCAAGTATTAAATATTGCTTTTTTTTAATTACTATACCTATAGTCAATGCCGAGTATCCACATCGTATAATAATTTAAATTCTTTATTCGAACGAAKAATTTATTTAAGTTTGCGTGGGACTATTTTCATTAAATTTTTTTTTCGCAACCGATAAGTTGGATTGTACCTACACCAATACAATATTTGCACGTTATACACAACGCATCATAATATAGATTCAGCCGATACAGCATGATGTGAACGCCACTGCTCGCGGACTTGAAGTGTTTCAAGACAATATATTATAAATGTACCTACCTACAATAACATAAAATTGTATAATATTATAACGTCGTATTGTTGTAGTCGTTCGTCCACCAGGGTTAGACACCGCGGTGTGGTGGGAAGACATCCGTCGGTTGGTGGAGGGGAGGTCGATTGCGCAAACCCGACGATACAATATTAAAATATTATCGCACAAAGGCCGGGCCCAAACCTGCGTTTCCATTGACGTAGTTCACATATTATATTATGTGCGCATATATAATACTTAAATGATTGTATCATAGACGAAGCTCGATGGCCGTCTATGTATAAAAGTATAATGGCCGTTGCCCCGCAAAAGGGTTTATAGTTGGAACGGTAGGAAATGACGAGAAATCCGTCTAGTCATTCGCGCCGGGAGATTCCGGGGTTGCGACACGCGGCCCGCGACGCATAATATAATATTATATTATACAAATGTATCTATAATCTATATATATATAATATATATATATGTATAATGTGGTATAGGCGTATATAGGATATTTTTTACAAGAGACGAAGCAACTGTACAATTCGCATATTGCATTGTAATAAAAAAAATTGTTTAAAGAGTCGCGCCCTTGCGCTACAGTATTTTGCAGCACAGGTGCAGTTGCATTATAATATGCAAAAATAACAAACTCATCGGTGCCGCYGGGCCTACGTTCAACTGCAGCATAACATAATATTACGTATACCTACTGTACGTATATAATATATAAATCAGTGGCGTATTTAGGATGACTTCTTCGAGGGGAGATATATGACAAAAAAATTTTTTTTCATTGTAACCCTTTTCTATAACGTACGTCACTACGATAATACGTATGCATTATTAAACTGTCTCTGGCGGGTTGCGCAATCAAATGTGTATTAAGACCGTCGACGCTGTCGCTATTGAATTATCGTTATATTATAATAATATGTATTGCAAATATAATTTTGTAATGACGCGATTAGAGAAACAATAAAACTATGTAGTCACGGTGCACAAAAATAACGAATGATAATATATTAATATTAYTATCGACAGCGTCCGTCGTTGYTCTATTCAAATTCACGAGCGCACAGTATCCTATACAAACAACGATGTTGTTCCAATAACGAATAAAATAGTAACGTGAAGGGAAAAATCGGTGGATTTTTGTTTTGATCATATACACGCGGTCACTGTTTTTTAACAGTTTTTTTATTTACAATATTGAATATTATATATTTATTTATATCGCATTTATATGAATTTCAGATTTAATATTTTATAAGGYACCTATATATTAATAGGTACTAGTACTATACGTATCTAAWATTAGATATTACTCATTCAGTTCGTCTTGACACTCAGTAACCGTAATGGTTTTAAAAAAACTCTGGTMAACAACTATATTATTRCCTACCTTACAAATTTAAGTCTCTTACCTCGAAAGATTATATTTTTTTTCAATATCATATAGTTTTCCGACCATTTTTTAAATTTAAATCCTACAGGTTGTCAAGTACCAAGATAAACTCTATGAGTTATATCTTTTAATAGGTATAATATA